CCCTCCTCCTCCTGCCCCCCGAGCCGGAGCCGGGGGGCTGCGAGCGGCCCCACCACCCCGCGGGGCACCGCCTCCTCTCCCCGGGGGGCACCAGCTGCAGCTACCCCAGCGAGGACAGCAGCGAGGAGGAGGAGGAGGAAGAGGAGGAAGAAGAAGAGGAGCCGGAGGTGGACGTGGAGAGCCACAAGCAGCCCGAGGAGGAGGAGGAGGAAGGCGAGGAGGAGGAGGAAGAAGAAGAAGAAGAAGAAGAAGAAGGAGAAAGGGGCGAGGCGGGCGTGGTGGTGGACCCCGTCGGGGGCGCCGGCCGCTACCTCCGGGGCTTGACGGACAAGGGCGTTGTCGTCCGCGACAGGGCGAGCGCTGCGGCCACGCCGACGGGGCCTTTCCAGCTCGCCCCCTGCAGGGCCGCACAGGAGGAGGAGAAAGCTGGGGGGCCCAACGCGGAGCAGCTGCTGCCGCCTCCTCCTCCTCTCCCTCCCCCTCCTCCTCCTCCTCTGCCCACCTGCCCCGCGAAAGGAGCGAGCAGCGGGGGGAACAGCCCGACTCAACACCATCCATCAGCCGAGGAGCAGCCGCAGCCCCCTTACAAAGATGTAAATACCGCGCCCCCGGGGGGGGGCTCCCTGGAGCCAATTATTTTTTATGGAGACGCACCTCTAGGCTGAGGGAGGGGGGAGATTAATCGCGCGGGGGGGGTCTCCTCCAATGCTCCCTCTAAGCTGTGGAGTCTTGTGAGCAAAAATGCTACTTTGTGAGCTCCTGGCATTAAAGTTGTGAGTGAGCGATTGGGCTGCTGCATAAATTACTTTGTTCTGGAGCCATCTGTCCTGAGCTAAGGCTAAAAACTGTGAGCTAGATCACACTAACTCAGCTTAGAGGAAACACTGGTCTCCTCTAATGCTCCCTCTAAGCTGTGGAGTCTACTTTGTGACAAGGCGGGAGAGATGGAGAAATCGGGAAGGTTCGAGCTCCCCGCTGTAATGTACAACGCCCCGTGTCAATTTCACTCGGTTAATTGTTTGAATCGAAGTACCCCTGTTTCTTGGCTCCCAGTGCCTCGTTATTGCGGCTTGCTTTTTTTTTCTGATGTGGGGTCGGGGATGGAGAAGATTTAAGACAAAACAAGGAATTGGTGATCCAAAGGGGGGAGGGGAGATCCAGCCCCCAAACGAAGCCCTTTTCAGACCAGTGTATTGCTCAATTTTCTTCCCCACCCTTTGAAACCAAGGGGGCTTTTAAAGGGACATAACAACATAGGAGTAGCCAATGTTGGATCAGGCCAATGGCCCATCCAGACCAACACTCTGTGTCACACAGTGGCCAAAAATACCAGGTACCATCAGGAAGTCCAGCAGTGGGGCCAAGACACTAGAAGTCCTCCCACTGTTGCCCCCCCCCCAAGCAGGATCAGACCAGTGGTCCATCAAAGCCAGCATCCTGTCTCACACAGTGGCCAATCAGTTCCTCTGGAGGGGCCAACAACAAGGCATACAGGCAGAGGCCTTCATAAGTGTAAGGTGATAGTGAGATATTGAAACAAAATGGTATTTAGCAGAGATAAGATAGTCCAGCAGAGCCAGAGTAAAATAATTCAGACTCAGAGTCCATGTGTGATTAAAATATAAAGTTTTTACTAAATTCTAGCATGGGGAAGGGTAACTGGGATGAAAATAACAACAGACCTAAATGGGCTACATCCTTACACTACAAAGACAAAACTAGAAGAGAGCAATTATGGCTACTCTTACTTCTTCCTCAGAACAGCAAACAAAGATGGGAAGAGAAGCCATAAAATGGTAATACACCTTGACATTTTAGTCCCAATCAAATCCTTAGATCAGGGAGAAAATTCCCAGGCAATCCACATCTAAAGAACATTGGTTACATGAGAAACATGTGACTTCCTGTGAGTAACATAAACAAACATTTAACCCCAGATATACTGATTGTTTTCAACTTGTAATACCCAACAATAAGAACATGAGAAGAGCCCTGCTGGATCAGACCAATAGTCCATCTAGTCCAGCATCCCATCTCACACAGCGACCTACCAGTTTATCTAGAGGACCGGCAACAGGTCATATAGGCTTTCATAAGAACATGAGAAGAGCCCTGCTGGATCAGACCAGTAGGCCATCCTCCTGTCTCACACAGGGGCCA